TCAGTCACTGCAACACCGTATCAGTAGCTGATCATAAGGGAACTCTATCCTGGAGTGACAACTTCTGAAGCCTGAATATGATCTCTTTTGGTATCTGCAGCGTAATGCCACCCCTACAGGTGCATGACTCTAGGGTTGCTCTAGGGCAGTGGTTTCCAATTCTGGGGCTTCATTTATAAAATGATGCGTATAAACCGTCCTAAATTTGTTCTAAGATCATTTCTTAAAAGTGCATAAGTGCGATTCAGAGAAAACGAGTGTGCGCACAAAAAAACGTGCGTACGCATCTCTTCCAGAAGTGACATTTATAAATCGCAAATGATCTTGAAATTGTGTGCAGCTGACTGGTGTCAGATCTCTGCCTTGTAAACGCCCCCTAGTTAATATCATTACCATATAAAAGAGCACACGCCAATATCCAAATTCCCATGCTTGAGAATGACGAGCACAAAGAAAAAAAAACTTTACTGAGTCTGAAATTGAGGTCCTGCTGGCGGAGGTAGAGGTTCGTGCGGGGACGCTTTTTATTTAATGATGTGTAATTATTCTGTGGACAAACAATGTGTGTGTGGTTATATTTTTTTCTATTGACTATTATCAAAATTACTACTTCTAGAAACAACAGAAGTAATAATAATAAGAATAGTAGTAGTAATTATAAAACAATTAGGTTTCCAAAAGTAAGAATGAACTATGAATTCAAGTAAAATTTCCATCATCTTATAAAACGTGAGCCATCCAACTTTTAAAATCACTTGCTATGACAACTAATAAAAAGTTTAGTATCACGAAATTCTTGCAAGACTTTAAAAAACATTATTGAAAGAAAAATTGGACGTTTCATATCATAATAACATAAATTATTACACGATTATGGTCTCCTGTCTGAAAAAAAACCTGCATGTGATTTGGCATTTCTTTATATTTACACAGTTTACTAATGCTGCTCAAATGTGCCATTAATGTACTGACACAAAAATATATAGTGTATTTTATACAAATATAACTGATGTAAATGACAAAAACAAAGTTTAAGGCTGATGTCTCTACTCATTTTCACAGAAGCAAAGCAGCAGACGTTATAAACAAAAATAGTTAACAATGTTATTGAATAGAATATATTAAAACCGTTATTGCACAACATAGGCCTGTTCTTAGGCTACACAGACAAGTCGGAGATGCGTTTATGCATTTATTTTTCTATTTTATGCATTAGTAGTAAATCAAGACTTCGCAAGTTCTCTTGTAAAATAATAAAAAAAAATAAAAAAACATGGAATAAACTGTGTACAGAAAGTGAGTAAAGAACTCTCAACATTAAGCTACTAGGGTCAGTTTAATCTCGCAAAAACGCCCGTTAACAAAAAATCTGACTACACTGCACAATTAATCTCTTACACTGCATCGTTGTTGTTTATGATGAATTCGGTGCTTGCACGTACACCGCTTTTATTATTATTGCAGCTTAGATGTTCAAATAGCTGCAGTACTCCAACCTTGCCACAAATAAAAAGTGTGCACACCTGCTCAGACCCTGACGTGCAGTAAGTACTTTTCCACGTCAAAGACCATTTTTATAAATATGAACGTTTCCGTGGATTTTAGTGTACGCACACTCTAAGATCAAATCTGTGCGTACGCACATTTTATAAAGGAGGCCCCAGGTCTTGGAGTACCACCCAACTCTGCACGTTTTTTTATGCCTCCCTAATAAAACACATCTGCACCAAGCACTTTACATGAATGGACAATAAGGATTCCATATACCCATAGTAGTGACATTATTAAATATCAGTGTTTGGCTTTGTTCATAGCGTTTCCAGTAACAAGCTATTTAGTCTAACAGGTAGCGGTGTAGTGTGACAAGATGCCTTCACTGTCTTTATGTCACTTGCACACAGTTTTACAACTGAACAAGTTGAGGCAATAATGAAAATCACTCTTTTCAATGTTCAATTAGTTATTGAATATGTTGGTAAATTTCAAAAGGTAACAATTTACTTATTCAAGTATGTGCAGAAAAACATTCCAGTCCATCACTATATGATTGTATTATATTAAAAGTTATTAAGAAATAAGTTATACATTTGTTATATTTAAGATATAAGTTATTTGTTGTATTTTTTTTAAACTTATATTCCCGCCTTATCTTCAGTGTATAATTAGCAACATTTTTGGCAGTTTGTAGTGTAGCTACAGTACCATTTTAAGTTGAGGGTACTTTACTGTAGTTGAATGCAAAACTGTAGCTTGCCAAGCTACAAGCTATGCATAAACAAGGTAGTTTCTCTAACACTGAAGACCTTTTTCTTAACTCTGTCTGTTCTACTCAGGTTAGCATGTCAAAAAAATACATAATCTATACTTTCCTAAAATCTGTACTCTTACAGAAGTCAATCGTGTTTACTTTTAACACTAACTACAATGATTGAGACACCCAAACAGATATGTTCGTTTTTAACTTTTATTTTTAAAAATGAGTAAGCACACAATTCGTATGTCCTGTGAATACCAAAATCTGTGTAAACAGCACATATAACAATTCCATCATATACCTAGTTGATTGTTGAATGACATATCAAAAGTCCTCAGAGTTTTGTTTTTCATCAAGAAACAGTACACAAAACAACAAAAAAATTTACAAATATACATCTGAAAAGTTAACAAGCTATTGAAACCCAAACAAGTTTACTTGCACAAACTAATAATGTCACAATGGAACAGACCAGACCAAAGAGTGCATGCATGTGCACAGGGCTCACAGTGCATCCTGAGTATGCTATGAACAAAGAGTGCTCTTAACTGTGATAGTACGTTACAGATCCAGCACAGTTTGATCAAAGTACTTATGGCTGTTGAATTGCAAGGGTCATTCGAACACATTTCCACTGCTTCCTAATGACTTAACGGCTGTCAATAACTGGGCTACTATCGCCTGAAATAGATGTGAAAGAACTACTTCTTTATAGCTGGTACTTTCACTTAGGGAATGAGCAAAAATCTGTTTACTGGCATTTTATATTTTGGACGGTATCAATCTTTCCACATCAAATCAGTTTATTACTGCATCTATGCCATTAAAGGAATAGTTGACCCAAACATTCTCTACATTGTGTCAAAATTTACACACCCTCACATCTAGCCTACTTTTACATACATGTTAAAAAATGGTGCATCAAAACCATGTTGTCATTAATGATGTCTTTTTTTTTTATCTTAACATGAATGCAGACTAGATTATCAGTGAATATAGTGAGTCTAATATATTAATTTTATGGTACTGTTATGAAAAGAAGTGTTTGAACTGTTTGAAAATGTGCACTTTTGTGTTCCACGACATTGCTTTAATGTTGTCCTCACACACAAAGCAAAAGCTTTATCTACACAATATACATATATATATATATATATATATATATATATATATATATATATTATGTGAGATGTTACAAGAATATTTCACTATATAAGCAAGGGTTCAAGGTTCACATGGTCCCATTAGCCCCTACTGGTGATGCTCAGATGCTTTTTTGGAAAAAAAAGTGCATTTCAATGTCTTTGACATCAAAGGGTTTATTGAGGGTGCTTGTGCTGCCTTCAGGCATTTTGTTTCGTCATATAATTTTCCTGCTACTCCAGACTGAATAATCACATGACATTTACAGCTCAGGTGATTGGCTCAAAACATTCTGTGGTCCCTTAAGCAAAGACGCTGAATTCATGCACCGGATGAGCAGCTGCCATTGAAATGAACTGGAATGCTTCTCCAGGTATCATAGACCTACAAGAGGATTATTGCACTTCTGTACTTTTTTACACTGAAAAAAAAAGGAGCAAATGGGAGACAGTTTCTAGAGAATACATATGAAATTGTTTATTTTTTGAGAAATCACTTTTTCCTCCTTGTTTTAAGAATAAATGTGCCAAACACTTTCCAATGGAATAAGAAAAATAAACTTAAGATATATTCTCTGCAAACAAGTCTTATCTTCTTGCTTGTTTTAAAGATGTTTAGATTGTTGGCGGAAATCAATGCAAAATTCGTGATTAAGACAAAGATTTTTGCAGTGTAGTACACTAACCTCATCACATGCTTTCTGAAGCAGACACAATCAATAAGACATGGCACAATGGGGTCACGTCAGGGCAGTGCCCGCATCAATTCTGCACTACACCACAATATCTCCACACTCCCGCTGTGCCACAACAACTTTCATCTTCGCCATGTCATGGCACCTCAAGAAATATGATTTTTTTTATTCCAAGTACATTCTGAAAAGTGAGCACTTTCTCTCTCCTATCTAAAATCGTTGACAGCAGTATGAGAGGTTCAGTCGGGTGAATCAAGGACGGTGAAGGAGGAAGGAAATGATGACTTATGCCTTCAATGATTCATTTATCGAGTACAAAGAGCAATGCAGAAATCTGAATATATGCTAAAAGAATGAATGAATCAAAGAATGCGTACTCATAACTAGGGCTGCACGATTAATCAAATTCGATTGCAGTGATAAAGGCATTGCATTATACATATACTTTATTTTAATGAAAATTATAATAATAAGAACCGTATATTGCCATAGTCGTGTGTTTATTAGTCACGTTGAATCAATGAAAGCAGTTGAATCTTCTGTTTATTCAGCCGCAGCGATAGGCATTTTCTGGGTTTCTTCTGCGAGGCGTATTTGGAGTTTCTCTGGCCTTCGGATGGAGATTTACTGCTGATCACAGAACCGTGCTTCACTGAAAGATACGCATGACAATCGCAGCTTCTGTCGAATCGCGATCTCGATTCCATTTCGATTTATCGTGCAGCCCTACCCATAACTGACAGTATAGCTTGATTGGAAGCTAATAATAATAATTTTTTTTTTTTGAGGGGAAAATTAAAGAAACGTTATGTAAAATGAAGCAAAATGCTCTACTTCTAGGTGGCTAATCAAATGTAAGAGTGTCCAGACAGCTCAAGATGTTCTTTAGAGCATCTCAAATCACGGTCATCAGGTTTTGCTCATGTCGCTCTAGAGACATTAAAGCAAAAGACAGACCAAATACAGAGACATTATCCAATTCATGTTCGTTTTTCAGTTAAACTTTTCGCTCAAATTGTTATGCTGATACTATAGTTTGCAATGAAAAGACATTAGAAATAAAACAAAAAACATACCAAACCATAACCACTACAACAACTACCTTACTTACTATCAATAAGCAGCAAATTAGGAGTTTATTGAGGGAAAACTCTTAGTTAATAGTGAATATGTGACCCTGTCTGTAAAATCCAGGCTAAAGTCTCAAAATCTAATTATGAGATAACAAGCATCAAAGTTTGATTTCAACCATCAATTTCACTATGATTTCAATCTTTGACATGGCCTTACTCAGTCAATATTAAATATATAAAGGTTATATTTTCACAGAATGTTCTTCATCTTTATAAAGGATGATTTTATGTAGAAAACAGTAAATCACACAAAAAAATTACTTTAGCTGGGTTTTCACAGGCAGGGTCACATACTGTTTGTGTTTCTTAATCTAAAATGTTACCTAATTTTCACTATTGGTCTCAGAATTTGACCAAGCTGCGGAAAATGGACAACCCATATTATATAGCACACACACAATGTCCAGCCCCCCCCCACACAAACACACACAAAAAAGGCTTACCTCACGGAAAGTTCCTTCCGTTTTCCAGATCTGAAATAAGATTCCCAGAGGGATGCAAACCATAGAGGACATGGCCATCATCCAGCCAATGCCATAACCCCAGTCTGGATATGTGTACACATTATTATACTTCAGTGGCTTGTACTTGATCAAGAAGAACAGAAAGATACCCTGAAAAGACAATCATACGACCAATAATTAACATGTATCACTCACAGTCTGTAAGTGACTTGACTCTCTGTACATCCAATTCAACTCACAGCACAGATGCCTGGTGTGAAGTACTTCCAACACCATTTGATGAAGAAGATGGGCTTGTATCCAATCATGTCCTCAATGTTCAAATAAAACCTGTCGCTACCTGAGGATAAAGATCATAGATTACAACTTTTCACTTAAAATGTCACTCAGCAAAAACACATTTCATGTATTTATATACTACAAAAATAAAGCTTGTATTTAAAGGACACTGAAATTTACTGTATTTATGCTGCAAACACATTTCAATGATTCATTACATGCACTGTCTGACATTTGCCAGCAGGTGGCATTATGGTTACAGAAATGTGATGATCCTGTGAACAGCCTCACCACTGACATGCATCATTCAGACAGAAAAGCATCTGCTGGCATCATGGACTTATTATCACAGGCTTTCTTCTTTGGGAGATTACATATAAAGATATGCTCTTATTTTATTTAAATCTTGACACATAATACATCCATAAGATGTGGCAGTTGAAGGGTAAAAACTGCACTGGAGTGAGAGTACTCAACTGAGGATGTCTAGACTATAGATGCTTAGTAAGAAATAAGTTGTGATGTGATGAACACTGTTACACACCAAAACAATACGATCTCTTACCATAGATCCAGCCAATGCAGATGGACTCAAAAATGGCCACAAACAACAGACACATGCCACTGGCTGCATACGAGTCAAAGAGCTGGAATACATACATGCCACCCTAACAGAGCAGAGTGACGCACAGTCAGAGAAATACAGGACAAACACGCAAGACAACAGACTGCTGTAGCTGTGGCGTGATGCACTGACAATATCAGATAACCACGGTACCTGGGATGCTCACTATGCTCAGTGCATTTTATGGATCTAGGAGAGCACTACTGGCATATGGTAAATGGTAAAGCTTTAAGAGCATCCTTATCTTCCTCTCATCCTAGTAACAGAGAATGTCTGACTGCAGAGGCGTCGTTCCACAGTCGGATGGCTTTATTCATGAAACACAGAGCGAAAGCATTCACTTGACTGCACATTACTGGCGGAGAGCTACTTCATATCTCAGCCTGAATGCAGGCCTATTTTTACCTTCACTCCAGCCATAAATGCAAAACAGGAAACCACAGTAATGTGCCAGGTGCTGACAGCTATACACCATCATTACAGAGAAAATCCACTACAAATCGTGCTTTTTTAAATATTAAAAACTATTTAGCAGCATTGAGAGGCATGGGTTCCAGGTTAACCCTTAACTAAATGAATCCAAGCATCAAACCGACATCATCATGTAAACAGCAAATCTGCTTGTCCTCGATGAATAAGACACCTGGATTTTACTACCTGGAGAAACATAAATTTAAGGGCGATACTAATGCCACTGGAAAGAACATGGTTTGTACACAACAATATGCCTTTACCTCTGTCAACATTATTAGTCCCAGGAGGAAGGAGGTCACAGACATTCCCAGGATGAGAAGCTCTCGCCGATAACCCACACGGAAGGTTTTGGGATACATGTCCACTACTGCCGTCACAAGACTCTCCACACACACAAACTACAAAGAGAGGAACATGACACAGGGTTATTATCGTTCACTAGAAGTAAAACCATAAAAAAAGACAACTGAAATAAAATACAAAAAAACTTTGTTTAATTTCAGCTATATATATATATATATATATATATATATATTAAGATCAACTCGATTGATCGCGATTAATCCAAATCCAAAATAAAAGTTTGTGTTTGCATAATATATGTGTGTGTACTGTGTATATGTATATATAAATACACACACATACATGTATAAATGTAAGAAATATTTACATGTGTATATATTCATAATAATATATGATATATATACAGTGGGTACGGAAAGTATTCAGACCCCCTTTCATTTTTCACTCTTTGTTATATTGCAGCCATTTGCTAAAATCATTTAAGTTAATTTTTTTCCTCATTAATGTACACACAGCACCCCATATTGACAGAAAAACACAGAATTGTTGACATTTTTGCAGATTTATTAAAAAAGAAAAACTGAAATATCACATGGTCCTAAGTATTCAGACCCTTTGCTCAGTATTTAGTAGAAGCACCCTTTTGATCTAATACAGCCATGAGTCTTTTAATGAGGAAAAAAAGTAACTTAAATGATTTTAGCAAATGGCTGCAATATAACAAAGAGTGAAAAATGTAAGGGGGTCTGAATACTTTCCGTACCCACTGTATATATATATATATATATTTCTTAAATATATAATATAATTATCTTATTAAATATATTCTTATCTTATTAATATATCTTATATTAAATATAATAATCGAGATCAATCGATTTGACAGCACTAATCACTAATATATATATATATATATATATATATATGATGTAATAAATTATGTAATAAAATGACACAAAAGCAACATTTTTATTACTAAAATTAAAATGAAAACAGAAAATAAAAATAAAATTGTATTCAAAATATTAACCACACCAATAATAGTATATCAGTGATATTAAAATAACACTCAAGTGTCTCGAATGCCACAGAATCTTTTCTCCTTACTTCACTTTTCATATTGTCTTGTTTTGTTTTAATTAACATTTTTGCAATCTTTCTTAAAATAACTGACACTTGTTTTTATATTTAATATCAAAACAAAATATAGTTAATATCAAAACACTTGTTTGATATATAAGAAATTGACATTAAGTGGGGTAACAGTGTCCACATTTTTGAGGCCTCCATAAACAACCACCACAGCGGTCCTACTGCAGCATTATAGAAAAACACTAATTCATGTTTGAAATAAGATATGAAATGCTGTAAATATTACAGTTTTTTTGAATTGCTAAAACATTTCTTGAAACCATCACTCATTTTCTCAAAACCTGAAACACAAATCCACTCAAACTAAATTCACGAAACCTCTGACTCTTGCATCAGAACCAAACAATCGCTGCAAAACCATTTCACTTGCACTCAAAATCAAACGGTGCTCTCAGATCACACACACAAGTCAATAAAATAAACATTATAGAGCATTCATTAGACACTACAGAGAAAAATGGAGAACACAACATCCAGAACATTACAGAAAAAAGTATATTGTATTGAGTAAGCAATTTTGCAATTCTGTAAAAAAGTCTAGTAATTACAGCTGAGTAAGGTGAATATATTATATAGGCCTACTGTATGTACTGCAAGAATAGTATTGTGCTGAATATTGAATAGTACTGAATGTTTGTATATATTCAGCACTTGGATACTGCAAAAATAATGCAGTCCAACTGCAAAGATCAAAAAGGTCAAATAAAACTCTAAATGAATAGCATGTTACAGTACACTCAAATACTGCAAGTTGTGCAATTGTAACATCAGGGTCAATGAGATACTCATTCGGTCTCAGTGTCATGTCTTTGTGCTTGAGTCCGGCCTGAGGACTTTGTCCATATCACAAGTAATGTTGTCTTTTTTGCTAGACAAAAACACTCTCTACACCTTACTCTCTCCTCATCCTCCACTTCTTACATGTACTCTTCCTCCTCTCCTTCTCAGATTGTGTCCATATATTGTTTGTATCATCATTCAATCACCTGTGCCACTTGTGCAGTCTGAACTGACTCGTATTATGTACAGTTGGTTTGATCACATCATTAGAAACAAGTGTGAACAATTTTGAATCGTTGTGTGTAAACGATGACAACTGTGCTTTAGTTGTGTTTAACTTTTGCCGCTTGTGTTTAGCATTTTGCAGCACAAATGCATCACAGTGTGATAAGTGTTTAAGTGAATGAGAATGTGTTTAAAGTTTTGCAAAAAGAGTGCATGAGATTTGCAAATAGAGCTTAACTGCCTGAACGTGTTTAAGGTTTAGCAAAAACAGTGCTTTATTCGACAAATTGGTTTAAGCTAGTGAGAATTTGATTCAGAGATTGGGGTTTAGTGTTTCAGCAATTCAGAAAAACTGTAAAGGAAAATATAACCCCAAAATGTTTTGTGTGTATTTGATAGAAAGAAAAAAAACAGTGTACATGTTTGACAAAACAGGCTGAGCAGATAATGGCAGCATTTTTATTCTTGGTTGAATTATTAATTTGAAGGAATTGTTTACAAAATGTGCATTTGTCACCTGACTGTCGAGCCCGAGAAAGATGAGCATCATGAAGAACAGGCAGGCCCACAATGGAGACCACGGCATCATGGTCACAGCTTTAGGATATGCTATGAACGCTAGACCAGGACCTGAAATACATTTCGCAATACAATAACTAACACTTTCTGTTTTTAATTTTGTTAGAAAGACAGAAAGTTAGTACAAAGTTAGTCCTACTGAGGGGTAAAAACAGACCATAAACATTCTGGCAGAGCCGTAACCACCATGGACCCCACAATAATTAGAAATTGTTTCCCCCAATGTTTGAAATTCTTGCACTGATCTGCTGCAATCCATTATGCAGTACTCTGTTTTATGATGATTTAAAAGTTTAAAAGGTTTACAGTTTTTCTCAATTGCTTGAAAACAAAAACTGGTTTCTGTAGCACAAAAACAGATACCCTTATGTCATTCCCAAACACACACATGCATTTCCCATAACTGTAAACACCTTCTGGTGTCCTTTGACAGCTTTTTGGTCTTGGCCATGGTGGAGTTTGGAGTGTGGCTGTTTGAGGTTGTGGACAGGTGTCTTTTATACTGATAAGGAGTTCAAACAGATGCCATTAATACAGGTAACGAGTGGAGGACAGAGGAGCCTCTTAAAGAAGAAGTTACAGGTCTGTGAGAGCCAGAAATCTTGCTTGTTTGTAGGTGACCAAATACTTATTTTACCGAGGAATTTACCAATTAATTCTTTAAAAATCCTACAATGTGATTTTCTGGATTTTTTTTTTCTCATTTTGTCTCTCATATTTGAGGTATACCTATGATGAAAATTACATGCCTCTCTCATATTTTTAAGTGGGAGAACTTGCACAATTGGTGGCTGACTAAATACTTTTTTGCCCCACTGTAAGTCTATAGAGTTAGTATTTGTATTTAATAAAGCACCACTGCATCAAAATAATTGGTAAATGGAAAAACATGACGTATGATAAACGATTAAGTACACTGCACTTAAACATTAAGCCAAAAACAAATTTAAGCTTTTTAGATTGACTTAATTGTTATAACTAATGTTAACTTAAAAAAAATTGAGTTGCTTAATTAAATTGAGGTAATCGGTGTCCACAAACATTGAGTATTCTGAACTTATCGGGTTCTACAGTGTGCAGGTAACTGATATACAGTACATTTTAGTGTGTGTGTAGAACATGCCTGTCTCTCCTGCACATCAATACAGTACTGTGTTTGAAGTACAGTACCGTTTTTTTTTTTTTTTTTTTTTACTTCTGTAGAGGATCTTTGAGCTGGATGCCATGGCTGACCCACATGAGTACATCTTCATTTGAGGCAGGGTTCAACCTGACAAAAAGGTGCAAAAGAGGGCGCAACATCTTTGGTCAGCGTGCGGTCAAGTTCCTGGCCAGAGGGGAGGCAACATGCGCAGCCATCAGCAATGGTGGCATCCTCCACTGCCATGCTAAACTGGGTCCATACAACACCGCAGCTATACAATAACATTCGTCAACCGGAAGGGGAGCCAGGGCAACCAGAGCAGGTCCAATATGTTGTCATTTGGATAACGTGAGTTTCCATCGTGCTGCTCTGGTTCACACCTGGTTCAATGCCCACCCCAGGTTCACTGTTCCCTTTTATTTATTTTTTCCTCCAGCATATTCCCCATTTCTGAATCCGATTGAGGAATTTCTCAGCATGGCGGTGGAAAGTGTTTGACCGCAACCCCCATGTACACCAAAACCTCCTGGAAGCAATGCTGGATGCCTGTGGAGTCTATCCAGGGTTATATAAGGCACACAAGGGAGCGGTGGGTGTTTTTTGATATTTTTTTTATTTTATTTTTTTTCCTCCACGCTGCCTCGCAAGAGCAAACATAATGTGTGATGTTGAGATATTATGGCCTGACACCGGAGACGAGATAATGAGAACGCTGTTGCTGAGTAGCCTGTACATTTGCTTGCCTTTGGAAATAAAGGTTTTGAAAATTTAAGTATTATACTCTGCATGGACACTTTACATGTTTTGTCAGTGTGACATTTCAAAGGTCAGCTTTTTGTCCAAAACAGCATATACAGTATTGCTTTATCCAATCATGTAAGCACAAACGCATAACACTACTGGTTTGCCTTTTTATTTTATTTATTTTTTGTCAGGGTTATTTCACTAAGTTCCAAATGATTGATCTGAAAACTAAAGCATTTGGTAGCGGTGTTTTGAATGTATCCCTCCAATGTGTAAAAAACCTGCCATGTAGTCTGTGTTTTTGACAGTTTGTATTGACTGAGGGCAAAGTTGGAATTGAGATTCAGAAGTTGGCTGTTTGTACCATTGGGTGTGAGATTTTAAAATTGTGTGTGAAGATTTGAGAAAATGGTGAGTTGTTCCCAGAATTGTGTCTAAGCAATTGGGAAAAACTGTAAAAGTGACCCGTTTAGCCTGGTCTGCCTCAGCGGTCTAACAGTGCTCGTCAATGGCAAAATGATGGGCAATCAAAGTAAGAGGGGCTTACTGTCCACAGAAGCAGAGCGTAGGAGTAGTGCAACATTTTAATATTTGACCACTGTAGAAATGTTAAACGACCGACACTCCAGAGATGCAAACTACTCCTACTATATATATATATATATATATATATATATTTTTTTTTAATCAAATATGTCCATTTTGATTTGCAAATATAGAGTCATTTTACTGATTCAACTAACTGAATGTGTCGACAAGAAACTTTTTGTTTTTGACATGCTTTTAGGCATGCAAATAAAAGTGCATACGTTTAAAATATTACTTGCTTAAAATTATTACTTGGCAACTAGGATTAGACCTAGAATTTATATATGTTCAAGACATGGCTTCGGCCTTGTGCTCTGGGGTGCATTTCCCAAACGCATCATTAGCTAACTATGGTCACAAGTTCCACTGAACTCTATTTGTAATGATGGAACTTGCGACCATAGCTGCTTTTGAGAAACGCACCCCTGGTTGTGTACTAAGAGAACATGCATTAGATTGACAAATTCAACAGTCTCTGTGACAGAACTGACTTCTCAGAGTCCTGGTGAAACAGCCTAAGGATGCCATGTGGCTTGGCTCTGGTTTTGCAGTACAAAGACACCTATCCAAAAGCAGCAGGCCAAGAGCAGAGATCACTGTGCCATAACATTACAGTAATATGCTATAATATCAGCCCAGAGCTACTGTTCATTAAATAATTGGCTGCAGAAAAATGAGTGGAGCTTTAGTAGAAGTGCACTAAATAATGTTTTATGGCTCACTTATTGAAAGCATAGTGGCTGTAAACTTGTTTTTCTATATTGTACAGGAACAGGTTTGAGAACCTCTGCTCTAAGCTTATAGTTTGGTGATTCAACAACTGAATACATGTTTGCGTAGCAACGTTTCCAAATATCTTCATCTTAATGCAGTCAGATAATTTATAAAACCCTTCAAAGTGCATTTCAGTCACTTTTACAGTCAGCCTTGCTGTATTGTAGTAAATAAGTAATGCTGAATTGTTGAATAAGTCATACAATAAAAAAGCTTTTCGGAGAAGTGCTTTAAATTGTATGAGTCCAAACACATCACACTTAGATATCTCACTGTAGGCTACTGTATCTCAAATAAAAACTCTCACTCTCACACACATGTAAGACTTTTCTATATAAATGAGCTTACGTAATTTGAATTACAATAGATCAACCCAATTTGCAAATTTATAAATGATTCAACTTTTTTTTTTATTATTAAAAATGTTTCCAAAGAAAGGTTTTAACAGATTTATCTCACAAATTCACACTCACCAGACACTGCCACTGCCTCTATTGGCACATTCTGTTCATATGCCATGAAGCCCAAGACAGAGAAGATGGCAAATCCTGCCACAAAACTCGTGCCACTGTTCAGACAGCACAGCATGATGCAGTCCCTGCAAAGACAACACACAGAGCTTCACATCAATTATTATTATTATTATTTTTTTGCCACTGATCAACAGAAAAATACTAAAATGATAATAAAGATAAAAATCTAAATATTTGATTCAATAAGTATTCAGCCCTGTTAATATGGCACATCTAAATCATCTCTGGTGCCACCAATTAGTTTTTGGAAGTCACACAAATATTGAAATGAAGATCCCTTTTTTAATTATTATTATTAATTGTAATGTAAATTCATCTCTATACACTGGAATAGCCACCTTCTGATGAATCAGTTTTGTGTCAGAACTTGCACCATGAGGAAAACAGAACACAAAAAGAGACAAGGCAGGGGATGGAGGCAGAAGATTTCCATAAAGAAAAACTGAAGGACACTGACGAGGGAAACCACCAGAAAGCCAATGAAGGAGTTGGTGGCAGACAGTTGCCAGCTTTATGAGAAAGTGGCAAATATAAGCTAACAGGACATGTCATTTCTCAGCAACAGTTTGCCATTGGGCTTGGGGAAGGTTTATATGGTCTGATGAGTGCAAAATTGATAAAGGCCAGATCTCAGTCCAGTTTATGTGTGGACAAGCACAAGTTTGACCACTTGCAATCTTCATGTAACCTGACTGAGCTTGAGCAGTTTTTCAGAGTGGAGGATCACTGCAGTGACCAGAGCAAAGCTGTCAATGCTGCCAATGGGGCGAATGCGAAATACTGACTTGAAAATGAAGAATGCTTATAGTAGTTGTAGAAATTTGTTTTGACTTTGACATGAAATAAACTTTTTCTGTTGACTAAGATAGTTATAGGCTGTACAAAATAAACACAGTCAAAGTTTAAGGAGGTTGTATTGTCCCTGCAAACTTCTTTTCGCTTGACTGGACTCTCACCTGTAGCAGTTGTTGTTGTAGCTGTTATAGCTGCCCAGAGCTGTAAGACAGCCCAGACATATAGCATATGAGAAGAAGATCTGTGTGCCTGCATCCACCCACACCTGCAACAATCACAAATCAATAATCTAAACATAACTACTGTTATTGATTATATTGGCACTGCAATGAGATCCTAAGACGCATGCTCTAGTTGTCATTTATTCTGAGTGAGAAGATGTGGTCAAATATTAGCTGTCAGTTCATTAATGATTAATTATCAGTTCTTTCTGGGTGGTAATTACTTACCACCCATAATTTTACTTCTGGCATTTAACTCTTTCATCTGGAGTGGAAAGCTAATTAGGTGTCATACTAAAGTTGTATGATCTTTTTTTCTTTTGTAAAAGAAATTACTATAAAATGATTATTTTTCTCTGTCATTACATTGACAACCAGGGATGACATGCTCTGTTTCTGGACTTGTTTTGTCACACCAGGAGGAAAGGTTGCAGTGACATACACCACCTGCAGATGGAGAAACAAGGCTTAGTTTCCATGGTCAGGAACGAAGTTCAAAGACGTTGCGCCAACATGTTCATATTTAGATCAAATAGAGACTTTTGGAGACACTGGATCTATCCAAACCAATTGGTGCAAGAAATCACCAAAACCTATACAATTGCACTAAGAAAATAAAAGTAAAAGCAATAGTTAACCCAAAATTGTCATTATTTATTCTTTTGTGTCATTTTAAACCTGCATAACATTATTTTTTACATAGAACAGAAAATACATTTTGAAGAATCATCATGCAGCTCTGTTCCATAGAACTACAGTTTACAGTGACTACATCTGTCAAGCTCCAAAAAACAACAAGAACACCATAAAGAACGATTAAAGTACTATATATGACTTGTACACTTATTTCTGAGTCTTTGGGAAAAAATAGATAGTAGATACAAATACAAGGGACTTTGTAATGTTTAATCAAAATCTGGTAAATGAGTGTGGTTTTTCTCAATGAATGGGGCAATGTATAAACTCGCCGTGAGACTTTGACACACGCTGACTTTCTCCCAACTCTCCCTGGTCAAACATTTAAGTCTCACATTCACAGGTCAACCCCATGCCATAAATCTACCACTGGCTTTTTGGAGAATCGCAAAAAGCCTCAAAAGACCTGCGGTGAACAGCTTAGCAAATGTCCTGAATGCTGCAATCTGTATAGCGGTCAAAGGAAAGGAAGAAAGCAGTTTTCTATCCACCAGACATAATTCCTCACAGAAGGGAAGAGGTGAGTGGAGGAACTCTGCATTCTCCTCATGAGCGCTCCACTTTCCCCTTGTGAATACAGAAATCAATCTTGGACAGGCTGCTAAAGCCTCGCCATGAAGGAGCATTCTTTCCCCTTGCTTCACGGCCAAACAAAAGCCACTTCAGGAGATATAGGCCTTGCTGCCGAGCTTTTCTCCTGGACCTGTACAATGTGAACCCATTTATTTTTCCCCACACATCCCTCTTCCTTTCTTTCCACTTTCTTTTTGGCTCATTGCGTCCGTTAGACTTTCTTAAAGGCTGCTGGAAGAATAAAATCCAGAGGAAGGCTAGTGACTGAGTTGCAGAGATTGGCAGAGGGACACAGGCCCTCATAATGCAATGGATTGTGGGTACAAGGCAAATGTAAAGGAAGGCCAGAGCTGCATTTTGTGCTCCAGACACAGGAATAATGCAAACTACTTGTTTTCCAAAGGCACATTTTTCACAGTATGTTGGTTTGAGTTTACTAATAAACCATTTGGTTATTGTGAGGATGCACCTTTGTGCACCTTACGTTTCTGTTCGGTTTCTGGAAGGCTGTCGATTTCTGTTCAGTGGCCTTTTTGATGCCTGCCTGTCTGATATACAAGTTGGTAGTTTTGACAGCTGACATTCTATCAGTCTATGTCTAAAGACTCAAAGTGCCATTGTCCCCTCAAAGACAACACTTTATGCAGATAATGTTTGCATTTGAGCCCTTTCAAATCACTGGATCCACACTGTAGCCGCACATTGCCACATACTGTATGAGCGCTCCACATGTCAGAGTTGCGCTGAAGACATCATTTGCAAGGGCGGAATGCACGTCTCACTCACCCAATTGATTCTGTGCTGAATTGACCGCATAACGTTAGGGTGCTAAATTCCCCATTCATCCACGTCTCTCATTGATACATCTCCAACTCGGCTTCTTACTCTTTGGTTAACATCTACACACATTTACCACCATTGCTGGTCACTGGACCTTTTGTTTTTACCTTTCCAGTTGATTTGGGACCTTTCCAAATGCAGAAATAACATATGATCCAGGCTATAGCAAGACAGATAGCAAGTTCCCAGCGAAGGCTGCCAACTTCTTCAATTCCAGAGGATATGCTGAGAACACGGCGTCTAGAAGGGAAAACATTCTGAAATTAATAACCTTTCTAGCAGTCATGTAATGCATGAACACAAGTCAAGTGGGCAAATATGTTCTGCAAGGTTTGTATGGGTGAGTTTTAAGGTTAGCTCTAAATTTGACTAAATTATGTGAACCCCGTGACACTTTCTGATGTGCACAGTGTACAATGGCCATGAAACAATGATATCCATCAAAATTCCAAGTGCTTCTGACTTCCAGGAGAGTCAACTCCACATGCCCAACTATTCATCCTAACTTTAAGGTGGTCTGAAGTTTTGTTTAACATTGACTGGTTGTGACGCAATAAATTGTGAGATTGCGAGGGAAAGCCACAATTCTCTTTTTTGCAATGCCATTTATCATCTGTGACATGTTCTTGGGTGACATCCTTGACGCTGCCTAAGCCATGCCCCCTTTGAACAAACCTTTCCCATTCAACCTCAGAACTGACAGCTTCTGTGCCCCTCAGTA